GTGGCGCTGGGGCGGGTTTTCTCCGAGTACTTCGGTTTCCCCTGCCAATCTTAATTCCACTAAATTCTCCATCATCATAACCACCCGGAGCAGGCTACAATAGGCCAATCAGTGGCCGCCATGCCGAGTGGACCCAGTTGGACTCCACACCTCTAAGCAAATCAACCTATACTGTCTCCTTTTGAATTCTATATTTGCTGAATTTGTGAGACCCTGAAATAAAGAAAGAAAATAAAGGTAACAAGACTTATAGTGGTAGTACTTAGTCACTGTCTTGAAGACACTGTAATGAGGCCTTGATAGATACCACAAACAGTGCTAAGCTAAGACCTTTCTGTATTAATCACCCCGGTGCCTAAGGTTTCTTGTGATGGTGGAGGGGTTTAATTGTGTTAAAGAACGGTGGAACTTCCTAGGCCTGTTTAATTAATAATGATCAATTTGTAACAAGGCTTTAGTGTGATTGATGATGAAAGTAGATTACTCTGCATTCGTTATCCCTTTAAAGCACGCACCAGGCCTAAATACAGTCTAAGAATTCGGTTCATACCAACAATAAAACACATCGATACGAAGATCGGTTATTTAATTATCTACAAAAGACTAGTCTCTTCTAAGAATAAAGGAACCCATATAATTTAGGATAAAATAGAATTTTCAGAACGTTATAACAGGTGTTATACATAGTTACTACACCCCGTAATATTTAAAAGCAAGTGGCTAATTTAAATACTGCCCTTCTTAATATTCAAGAAATAAGCAGCTTACCTAGAAAATAAATTTACTTATTTCTTAGGAATCTCAAGGGAAGCAGAAGTCTTTTGTCTCGAGAGCAATATATATATGTTAATATTTCTGCAGTATATACTCTGTGTTTTCTGCTAGGTACGAATTCAAATTTTAAGTGTTATGACGTGACGTCTGAAAGATGGAAAATTAGAGCCGCAGTAGATGTTCATTTTTAGGCAAAGGTTCGGTAAAAAGGTTCCTGCTGAAAGGAACACGCATGCAACAATAGAACTGCCGTTTCTCTACAACGGTGAGGTAAACACATTTCTATTATAAAAGAGGAATTGTTGGGAAAGGTGTTTTCTGTTGAGATCGCCCCGAGGCTACATAACGAGGCTTGAAGACTGGCAGAAATAGAACTAAGGGAGTCTCTTGAGATGGAAGCCGAAGATGATTGAGAAGAAGTAACAAGAAAGAACTTATGATATGAACAGAAATATTTATCTGTGCTATATCGCAGTGATTTTGGAGTCTATAATTCAGTGAGACTGTTGTAGTTCCTGTGATAAATTGCGTTACCAGGAAACGACTAGTTGAGTGTGTAACCGACTGAAAACCATAGCTTGTGTGTAATGGTTTAATTATAAAATGTGTGTTGATCAGCGGTAACACTGTAATTGCCTGTGCTTCCGAGTGATCTGTATAAGGTGTCAAAAATCCAATCATCCAATCCATACCCCGTCTAATAATTACACCCCTACGTACGTGATAGTATTACACAGCTGAACTTCAGACTTGACAATGTTGCTGGGTTATGTCCAAATGTCATCTGAAAGGCTCAGTGTGGCAGCAAGTTCTGGTGATGGAGTAGCTGGTGCTGAGCCCTCAGAGAATATTAAATCCGACAATAAATTTACAGGATAAAATCCGTATAAAACATATTTTTTTTCGTTCGCCTCCTGCGAGTATGATCCACTTCCACGCGTCCTCCTTCTGACGTCACAGCATCATTCGAGGTATCTGCCGGGTCCCGAAGCATTGCTGGAAATAACTTTCAGCACAGCCGTCACACAGATCTGAGTGGCTACAGCTTACTTAAGACGAGACCCACTTAGGAAGACTTCTCGATTCGTGGCTCCAAGTCAAGCAAGTGAGCGTATAGTGTTGGTCAATACTCCAGCACTCACATTTACAGATAGTATTATCAGAAACTATTCGGAAGTTGTCCGTTTCGAATTTCGTCCGGGACTTCAACTACCTTAATTCACGTTTTCGTGGTTCTTCCCAGAATATACAGGTGCACTGACATGTATATTTTGCAACGGATTACTTCCTCATCTTTATCATGATCATCCTATTATTCGATATTGTATCTAAAGGTATCCCTGTAACAGGCCGTGAAGGCCCAAAAGGTTGTCAGAGGTTGAGGCTGCCATATCTTCTAGAAAATCGGCTCACAAAAGATTGTAAGGTTGTCAGCAAAATATTCTGGCCGGTTTTACCCCTTAGGAAGATTCTTTATACTCATTTCTGTTTGATGCTGAGTCCACCCCAGGGCCATACTGCGGCTAGAAGGATTAGATAAAGTTAAAAAAAAATCTAATGACCTCTTCGGGACTCAAACCAGCGACTTTCCGGCTCTAGCATAGTGCCTCAACCAACTACGCCACCGCATGATTCTCGACACTATATCTACGTATACTTTTACTGTGAAGTCCTCAAGTTTGCCGTAAATAAGCCTAACAGACGTGCAGAATGATTGTATGGTGAAGCATTTAAGCTGAAACTCATTGGTAGCTTAAAGGTATATTTCAAGTGTATTAATTCGCCCAGCTGTAATTTGCAACTGTATAGCTCGTGTGACGTCCAATGAGAGCCAGTTTTAAATGATACACTCGGAAGGATGAACAAAGAATCAGTTGTGGCTTAAAGAAATCCCAAGAAATACCTGGAAATTGAATGAAGAGTGAGACTTCTGGAAATCTTTCAGTGTGTTCAGGTAACCATTGTTGATTCTTGAATAGGCTTGTATGTTCTTCTGAAATTTATGCATAACGTCACTTTCCTTTTATTTTCTCGAAATTTTGTGTCTTACGGAAGTAAATACGTGTATATATACATATATAACCTGCGTTCAGTTTTGTTCATAACAATTTGTAGACGAAATTTTCGCTGTGATAGAAAAATAAAGAAATGATCACAGAACTGCATGTGTCTGTCATGTGAACTGTCCGCTATTTTTACCCAAAAATTTGAATATATCGCCAGATATTAGTAGAACATCCCAGTATCAAATTTCACGAAACTGCTTTGGGCTATTCTGTAGTTGGTCCATGAGTTAAAATTAGAGAGAAATAAATCGGTAGCGCTGTGAGAGCGCATAAATATTATTGTGCCATATTTGCCTTCTTTTTATTTACAGTGTGTTGCACTCTGATGATAGGCGTTAAAACAGCCGGTAAATCCAGTCCCCAGAAAGTTAGAAAATAATTCTATTCGTGAGAGTAATTCTCAGGATTAAAAATATCTCGAAAAACAGAGAGATTGCACTCGGAGACTCTGTGTGTGTGCGTGCATGCGTGTCTTGCCTGTGTGTGTGTGTGTGTGTGTGCGTGCGTTTGAAAGAGAGAGAGAGATATCTTAACCCTTTAAAACCTGAAATTAATCTAAGCAATATTTAAAATTTCGGTTTCTACGGCCCAAAGACTCCACTGATGCACAATTAAGAAACCAGTCGGTTAATTCTGTTAAGGGGAATAACGGCTTATAACTTAGGGTATCATGCTAAACAAAGGAAATATACGAGCAGTTTTAAAAGAGGTTGTGTATATATTTACCACTGCACTTCAAAGGATGGGTCAAATTATAGCCAATTGTTTTGCTACCATTCACTCTGTACACACAACAAAGAACCAGCTGCAAACATTGCATGTACGGTAAATCGATACGTGATCACTTAACGGTCTAATGAACATTTTGCGTAGGTTTCAAGTGCTGTTGCAGGGTTATCACTTGACGCGCTGTTATTAATGAAGATGCTGGTAGCAACTGCCACGCCTGCGTTCAAGCAGATTTCTCTAAGAGAAAGAATAAATGTCAACACCTAACCGGATTCAAAGTGCTTCACAGCATCCTGTCTTGTTTATCCTCATAAAGTAACCAGTGCAACTTACATGTATTTATACATAATATGTTGGCATATGTATATATATAAACATACGCTTATACTGACTGACAAAACATAACATGGCGCTCAAATACACATAACAGAAAATACTTGCGAAAAATTGAACACCAGGTTTGTTATGAGTCTCTTCGCTTCTATCTTTTTTTTTCCTTGGCACTACAGCCCCTAGTGGGCCTAGGCCTACCTCCATGAACTTCTCCGTTCACTTCGGTTTTTCTAGATCTTAAGACATAAGGTAGGACTCCTTGGGCGGGTGATCAGCTCGTCGCAAGGCCTCTACCTGTACATAAACACTGAAAAACACACACAAACATCCATGCCCTGAGTGGGATTCGAACCCACGATCCTGGCTTCCGAGCGAGCGAAAACAGTGCACGCCTTAGACCGTTCGGCTACCGTGACCGGCTCGCTTCTATCTACTTTAACCTTTTCTCCCCCATTCTTTTCCCGTCTGCTTTATTTGTCCGTCATATTTCCATGCCTCTCCCCCTTCCTTCCACTCTCTAATATCCATAAATGTGATCACTATTTACATACTTTTGTGTCTATTTTCTAAACTACGTGCTACTGTCTCTTCGCTTGCGAAATTTCTTATTTTTTCTGCTATGGTACTGACGGTTCTATTATGATATAATATCAATATTCCAGGCAAGACAGTATTTCAGAGGAAAAGAACCACGGACAACCTTTCTAAAAACAACAGTTGACAAATATTAAAGAAAAATGCCGAAGGGTGTATTGATGTTTCGTAAATTTCGAAGAAGCATTTGTTTCACTTCCTAGAGAAGCTTTGTGGGTTGAAATGGGAAGATCGTAAGAGAGTTGAAATCTCAGTTGAATTAACAAAATGTACCGAAACACGAAATGGAATAAGTGCGGTCAAAATATATAAATAACAGGCAAATATAATGATTTAGGTATAGCTTTGAAAATATTAGAGGCAGCAGCAAGCAAGATGCATTATTAAAGAGAAAAATGGTCAGGCATTCACATTTACTGATAAATGTTGACTAGAACCCCTAATATAAAAGTTCACACGCTAGAAAATACATACCAAATATTATTTAAATACAGGATTACGTACGGTGTAGAACTAAGGATGGTAACCGTCCCCTTCCTATCTTCGGACTTCTCCGTGGGCTTCGGCGGACTATTTAACTCCTCTCAAGTTCATGTCATGGTAATAACTGAGGCAACCGGAAACTGTACCCTTGAAGCCAGTCCACTGCTCCAAATCAATGACGCAACAGCAACTTGCACTGTTAATCGTAAACTCTTCATTAATTCGAAAGCGAAACTTCGTAATTTCCTTCGCAAATAAGGAGTACTATGGCCCTTTAATATTATCAAAATAAAAGATCCAAAATGAAGGACTGACGAAATTAGAAAAACACGAGGAGTGCAGCCCAATGACGTCTGACTCAGATTATTTCAAGACGCCAAGTCCCCAAGAGAAGCATCCTGCGGGAGCGTCGCTTCTTCCCCAAGAAGGATTCGAAATGCCAGCCTCTCTCTCAGACAAGAATTCATCTCTGATTGGCTGACTGTATGTATCATGCAATCAGCACAAAGCAATCACATACCGACTTTTGAGAATACAGCTGTTCCCAAGATTCAGAACTCGGACCCCCCCATGTAACAGCGGTTATATTCTTTAGTTTAGGGTTCAGCTACGCCCTTCTGAAGACATTTTATGACAGCTATACACGTAAACAAAACAAAATTCACATCTTCGGAAAAATTCAGACTCGCCTCCGGTGGTGATCTTGCGCCCTTCCGATCATTCAAACTGAATGTAAACAACAATAAGGCAATTGTTTTCTGTATAGATACGAAAAACAACTCATAATTCTCTAATAAATCGGTCTTGCCAATAAAGTAGTCACCCTTCAGAAATGGCTAAAGAGGACACTAGCGTCCACGGAGGAGTGTAAAGGCGTGTCGACATTACTCGTGCTCGTACATCATCCACACTACTTCAGTTACTCGCCAGGTTTCGGCGCGTGAGGATCCATATATTTACTTGTAGTGTATATAGGCTATAGTTCTTAAATTAAAAAATTAAAATTTGCTTGACTCGTGACTTGTCACAACGTCCACATTACTCGCGAGCATAGTGAGTCACACGAGCACGAGCACGAGCACGAGTAATATGGGCGAGCCTTAACAGGTTTGGACTGTCAGGACGCTACATGAAACATGGGAGGATACTGGCAGGATTGCCAACATGAGCAGCTTATGGTGCGGCGGAAGTGGAGATAGGAACACACAGTTGAAGGGGAAAATGATTTGGAAGGCCGAAAAATATCCGCAATTAATTGTACGTATGGGCATTCATGATTCGGTAAACGATGTTGTGAAAGGGAGGGGGGGGGAGAACATCCGAAAGCTGGGCAAAGAAATGAAAGAGGAGATGAGGGACATAGTTTTGGCATACATTTGGCAGAATACGCATAGATATAACCCCATAAAATTAGGATAATGCAACGATATGGGGGAAAAAATTACATCGATAATGGGCGAGAAGATTTCACTACTTTCCTAGAAAGAAATGAAACATAACTAAGACAAGGATCAATGCACTGAATTATGAACTAGAAACGAAAGAAAGAATGTAGTGTGGATGAAAGCAGGACCTTGGAAGCTAAGGCAGTTAAGAGGAGGTACATTCAAAGGTTTATGTTTATCTTTAGGAAAATTGAGCTCTGGGGTTGTGCCAGCAAATCAAATATATCAATAATCCAGAGAAGCCAGACAAAAGTACTTCGAATTATAACAAATTCATCCTGGTATGTAAACAACCAAACGTTACATACAGACCTAAATATACCATACATCAAGGACGTCATCAGAGAAAAAAGTACCACACACCACAACAAACTGGCAAATCACCCAGACGACATATACAGCCACTCGTCGAACCGCAGCACAATCGAAGACTCCGAAGGCACTGGCCAGCTGACCTAAAAGAAAACTAATGAGGAACCTCCCACTGGGGAAGGGACTCACCACGTCACTAAAGAGCATCACAGCTCTTACGCCAGCAAACTAACTTATAGAATCGTAAATTCTGATTGCTTAATAAATAAATAAGAAAAAAAAATCTGTAGGAAAGGAGGTGTCCAGAGACAAAAATGTGGATATCAGAATTATAAAGTAAAAACTAATATATATACGCTATGGGCCTTCACGGCCAGTTACAGGGATAAATTTACTTTACTTACTTAATACATTTAATTGCTTTCCGCATTATGAAACAGCACGAACAAATCCCTCTTTCATATTATCTGAACGGCCACAGGCAGGGTGCTTGACTACGCCACTGATCACCGTAAAGGCTGGAACACACACAGAGACATCGGTCTTACGGAAAAATAGTCGTACGATTTTCTTGCCATACGACCTCCTTTTCACACTAGAGCGATTAAATACATTTCGTTGCTCTCCGAATGTCGTACGGTAGATGTATGTCGTCACGTATGAAATCTAAGACTACACTTTATATTCTACTACTTGATGCGACATGAACCGTACGGACGTCGTATGACCGATGTTGCTCTGTGTGTGTGTTCCAGCCCTTATGGAGTAGGTTCATACACACAGAAAATAGATTGACCCATTACTGATCGCGAACCTCTTGACAGGGTCTTGTTTGACCGTCAGATTTGTCTGGCATTTACAGACATCAGTGCATCGAGAAACAGATTGCTCTACCTTGGATACGACGACGTGTTTTGTGAATAGCAGTCGGCTACTCGCATGCCAGTACGTATATTATTTTGCTGTATATACCGCAAGTCAGACAATAGTTCGCATTTCGGTCACGGGCAATCGTAACGTCACTGACAAACTCGTAGGTTCGTTTGGGAATCACACGGCACAGGGAATGGATATCAAACGGCCCACTTAACTGACCAACTGAATGCAAGAAAATCGTACTTTAGAGCAGTGGTTTTCAACACCTGCGAGGCAGCGGCCCGCCGGTTGAGAAACACTGATTTAGAGGCTATTCATCTTTCCACTCTTCAGAAATCACCCTGCTTCATCACCAGCCCGATGTTTTCCCTATCCCAAGAAAAATTAATATACCCCACAACCTCCCTTCTTATTTCCATTTTAATATTATCTGTGTCTATATATTCCAGTTGGTTCATTGTGTCGATATTTCTTAGTAATACTGTATGCATTTTCGTCTGTCTCAAGATTTTTGTGCATAAACAACTACATAGAATCTAGTGAATCACCAGTTGAAAATTACATGGGAAATGTCGTAATTTCGCGTTATTATTTTTCCCTGCTCTCTCCTTGTTCCTTTTCAGTCCTGAATGTCATAAAACGACACGTCTAGGCCGACGCTTAGAGACATTTCCCATTAATAACACGCACAAATATTCAATTGTAACCCGTCTGTTTTATATATTATACTACATAATTCACACCCCCTCATTGGTGTCTCCACCTTATCGTGGGGAGGGGGTTTGAGTATGCCAAGGACCTTGAGAGCTATACCAGCGGTAGCGTAGGTACTGACAGGGCCTCCCTTGCTGGACAGGTCAAAGGGTAAGCATCAGACAAAGAGAGACATCAAAAACCAAAAACTGATGCCGGAAGCAGCTTCATCAGCAGCGACTTGAAGCACAGAGGAAATGATGCTCGAGATGGTTCAAGTTCGTATAGCAACAGGCGTGACCAAAGTGGTTTGAACGGCTGTTGTACTGCGATGTGGAAAGCAAATGGAGAAACTACCACATTATCACTTTTCCTGGATAGTCTCTGTCCAAAAACAGAGATACCATGTATGCGAGATCCAGAAGACGAGAAAGAAGACGTAAGAAGATGCTGGATGACCTTGGGGACAGAAGAGGATATTTTTATTTGAATGAGAAAGCTGTAGATCTCATTAAGTGGAGGAACTGTTTTGGAAGAGACTGTGGGCCTGTCGTCTTACAGATTACTGATGAATGAATTTGTCTGAAGGAAGTGACGAAAATCACGAAAACCCTGTCAGGACATCCAGTCTCTGGTCAGAGACCTTCCCAATCTGCAGCAGGAGTTCTACCAACTGAACTGAGATGTCCGATTTCTTGGCGCTGCGTTCAGGTCTGCTGTAAATGCTCCATTCTCTGATTTCCAAATCTGCGACTCACATTCCATCCTTAAGCACTGGTCTGTACTGCAGTCTGGAGTCCCAGGATTCTGCGCACTGCCAGCAGCCGCACTACTTGCGGTGCAAGCTGATCATATCTGCAGGGTCGAGAAAGTTGTTACAAAGACACATGGCGTGTTCTGCATGGTCGCATCAGTTCGGAATGTATGAAGTGCAGTCACCGCAGTTACACCCTCAGGAGCATTAAGGTTACGCCCTTCTGCTTTCGGAATTCCAACGTTTACTGCCAGAAAATTTAAAAATCGATTATAATGTGTCAGCAAATATTGACATTGAAGTTTGGAAGACAAAAGTGGTCCTTGCACAGTTGACTGGCGACATTAACAAGTAAATTTCAATCAGATAATTAATAAGGTGTCCTGCAAATTTTCTTTCCTTTGGAGTGGGTTCATGCCATAAGAATGGATTGAAAAATAATGTCTAAAAATTTTTCTAAAATAAGCGAAAATGTACAATGAAAGTGAAAACACCCTGACTGAGATGGTTCGAAGATGATGAGAATGATTTACGAGAACTGAATATGAAGGGGTGGAGTCAAGCTCTAAAAAGAGACCAAGGTATTTAATAGAACAAAGCTCCAACAAAATGTAAATCTACGTGAAGTAAATATGAAATATAACATATATATAAATTTAAGTATTTGGGAAGCAATATTATATAGAAATAACTGGTGAGGTTTATAATATAAGCCAGATAGCCCTTTGTGTAATTGGAGTAATTTACAGGAACATTTGTGGAGTAATATGCAGGAATGCTTAATTAAAATTATAAATAAAATTAATCAAAAAAAGAAGGAATTCGATAATGAGATCAGGACATATAAAAAAAAGTGGCCAACGGTTCGGTAAACGCGTTCCCGCTGAAACAAATAGACGCAGAATAGTCCATTGCTAGACAACGGATTTCCAAGAACACGTATCCGTGACAACGAGTAGACGCAATAATAGCTATAGATTATTATTTATATTCTGTTCGCCT